TAGACCTACTTAATTTTCTGTGTTTGTTTCCTTTAAAAAATCATTTTTGAACTAGGTGTAAGGATGGGAGGAGGGGAAGGGAATAAGACGATGTTTTAACTAATATAAAGAGTTGAAACCTAGTTCTCTGTGGAGCTGAGGAGTTTTAAAGGTCGAATCAAATCCCTAATACATAACCTCAAAATAGCATGCCCTCCTCTCGCCCCCCACCCTCTTGGCTCAAGATGCCCACCTGAACTACCTGTCCCCCTACCCTGGGTCCAGCGGGGGCCTGGCCATCTGGAAATGGGCTCCAGATTTGCATTCATTCTTATTTCACGAGTGTTTATGAACCCCAGCTGTGTGCTGAGCCCTGGGGAGCCAGCGGCAACCAAGACCAAATCCTGCTTTCATGAAATTTCATAAACACCCAAGCCTCACATGTCCACAGCCGTAGAGCTTGTCAGGCGCTTTGCTCTGCAGTTTATATGTCAACACATTTAACCCCTGTGGTGTTTCTATTATTGCCCCCCTTTTACAAATGAGAAAATGCAGTCGCAGAGAGTTTGTTACATGTCCTAAACCACATAACCAGTAAATAGCAGAGGCAGATTTGAACACAGGGCATCTGGTTAATCAAGTCCAAGATCTTAACCACTGTGCTATGCGGCTGCTAATAAGTGAGAAATATCATTTCAGATAGTAGTAAGTACCACACGTGAACTAAAATAGTAGGTAAGGGAGACTGGAAGGGACAGATAGGGGACACCTGGGGTGTTGGCATTTGAGTCAAGTCTTATTAACCAGAAAGAACAGATGGAAAAATCAGAGGGAATAGCTTGTGCAAAGGCCCATTGGTCCAGAACCTGGCATGTTGGAAGAACAGAAGCAAGACCATGGGGGCTGTGCTGTGACCAATGAGTTCCCAAATCTCAATGGCTTCCCCATGGACATGCATTTCTCCCATGGCAAACTGATCAGCAGGTGGCTCTCCTCCTCGTGGCCTCTCAGGAGCCCAGGGCCCTTCCTTCTATGGCTCTGTTGTCCACAACCCATGGCTCCAGGCCACTGGAAGGAGGAGCATGGAAAGTGTTGGTAGGCATGGAAGAGGAACAGATCATCCCTACTGCGTGGTCCAGAGCCCAATCACATGGCCTCTGGCAAGGAAGGCATGATGTGGTCTAGCAGTTCATCTGGAAGAAAAGGACCTGGGTGTGGCAAGATTGTGGCCAGAGTCAATCACTTAAGTAGCTGGTGGGTGTGCAGACCAAAGGTGGTCAGGTCTGGGTACATGTTGAGAAGGACTCTCAGCAGGCTCTGCTGGTGGTACTTGGTACTAGGTACTTGGGGGAGGAGGAAACCTGGGATTGACTCTACCACATCCGTCATGGGGTGGATAGAGGTGACAATATGAGGTTCTGGGGTTCCTCAAACAGAGTGGCGGTGTCCCTGACACATGGTCTAGCTCTAGACTCTCTCCCACTTGGATGGCAGGTGTGAATGTGGTCAGGTCCTGGCTGTGTGCACATCGCCGTGTGACTGAAGCTCCCTCACTGGCAGAGTCTCCATCCTGATGCCCTGAGTATGGGCTAGACCGGTCACTTGCTTCAGCCTGTAGAACACAGCAGAACTGACAGCACCAATGTGAGCCTGGGCCTCAAAATCTTTGCAGCCTCTGCTCCTACTTCTGGAATCCTCCTTTGGTGTGGCTGCTGGCTGGAGGATGAGCTCACATGGGGAGAGCCCAGTTGTCCGAGCAGGAGCTGTCCCAGGCCAGCCTACAGTGCACTGACCCCAAAACATGGGAGGAAGTTCTTCCAAGACCAGTGGGACTACCTCCTGGCCCAATAACTGACTGAGCTGGTGCAAGGGCTTCCCGAGGCACTCATGTCAGACTCTGCTCTTCCCTCTGCTGAACTTGCTTTTTGGCCTGTGCCAAGCCCAGGCCCTCTCTGGACCTCCATTTCTCCGTCTCTTAGTGAAGAGATATGGTCTGTGTCAGGGCTGCACACTAGGGGCACCAAGGCCAAGTTCAGCTACAGTTAAATTTTGCATCATTCTCATGGTGGGTGTCGGTGTCACGAGAGTGAGAAACTTTACTTAAAAGCCCAGTCGTTCAGACCTTCTTGAAAAGGGCAGAGGACCTGGCCTCTGGGAGGGCCCACTGCCACCGGGTGACGCTGGGCCTACAAGGAGGGGCTCACCTCCTGCGCTCGTGTTACCTCCTGGCCCTGGTGGCTGAGTTTTCAATTTGATCGTCCTGGACCTTTTCTCATTTTTGGGGCCAACTTCTTAAGAACTTTTTAATGCCAGTTTTGTGAAAAGCCACTTTTGGAAATAAGCCAAAGGCTTATCTCTGCCTGCCACAGCCATTTATTACCATGAGCCATGTTTGAAGACTCTTGTCATGGAAAGAATAGTGATGGTAGCAACGGCAGGAACAACAATATTTAGTCCTCGCCCATTGTTCTGAAGCTCAGAGTTCCCCATGAATATTACCAGGAGGACCCTCACAACAGCCCTGTTAGTGGGTATGATAACCTTACTTTTGCAGATGGAGAAACTGAGGCTCAGCACAGCTAAGCAGGGCACCTCAGAGGGCGGGCAGGTCCGAGGTTGGGAGGCAACAGTGAGCTCAGGATGGGGCACAGGTGGGCAGCCTACCTGCCCATCTCCTCATGGTGTCCTCACACTGGGCCCCATCCAGTAAGGCGGGACACCTAAGGGACAGTAAGGGAGGCTGTGGGGTGACTTTGCTCATTTCATGTCTATGTGATTAACATGAAACGGTCATCTGGGGAGACTGGTCAGACCTCCCCAATTCCCAGGTGACATAAGGCTTATGCAGAGGGACTGCAGGCTTGGGAGTTTCTCTGTTCACGGTGGGCACTGTAGGTTTCCAGGGCATTCTTCTGTGCAGTGGGGGAGGCTTTAAGAAGCTCCTCTATGTTTTCTCCTCACCTACCCATCGGCCATCCACACACCCTCCCACCAAACACCCATCTACCCGTCCATTCGTCTACCCACCCATCCACCCACCTTCCATCCACCCACTTTCCATCCATCCATCCATCCATCCATCCACCTACCAATACATACAGACATAACCCACCCACACAGAAACCCAAGTAAAGAAAAAGAAAAGATCTAAGAGAAGAAATCAACCAACTGTCCAACCATTTTATTTGTTGATGCTATGATCCAGGTCCATTGCCAATACTGAGGAGTCTGATACAGCAGTAAGGGTCTGGGGCTGAGTTTCACCAGTGCCTGTGGCACAGAGTTCAGAGGTGCCACCTCTTGGTTGTGCAACACAATCACCAAAGGTCCCTGCAGTTTGCCTCCTACTACAAGCCCTTGCTCACAGCAGAAACTTAGGCACCAGCAGATAGACACACAGCCACACCACTCCAATCTCTCCAGCATGTGGGGCAAGACAACCAGACACCACATTATACACAAGAGTACATGGAAACACGCGTGAGCACCCCAGAGGTCTTAAAGGTGCAAAATTACATGACAACCCAGGAAACCTTAAAGTCTCTGTCTTCCTCTCACACACTCACACACACTTGCACACATGCATGCATACATACATGAATGCAAACAGACACAAATTAGCATACCACAGTCCCCCAGAGGAGCGCTTTCCAGGTAGAGAGGCAGTGGACGGAGCTGGGCCCAGAGCACAGCGGCCTGCCCACCTCTCTCTGCCGGTCTGCCTGGGGCCATGACATCTAGGAAGCCCCACTGGGCCCTGCTACTCATGGGGCCCGAGCCCCACTGCTTTCCTGCCCCACCCCTGAGGCCTAGGCCTCACCTCCTGGGACATGTGGCAGCGGCAGGGTTTCGCTGGTGAGGAGCGGGCCTCCCTGAGCTAGCCTGTGCCGGGTGGAGATGACTGCTGCTGGTCGCAGAACGCAGGGGTATGGCCCGCCCATGGCACAGTTCGGCATGCGGTCACCCCTCAGTGACTCAAAAGACCTGAGCTCAATAGGCCTAGGCTGGGACCTGATTTCTTCCCCAATTAATGCCGATGACATCACAGGCCGCATCCAGAGGCTGCTTTTGCCTGCTTGGCAAACAGAACTTGAGAACCAAGCAGTGTGAGCATCCCCGCAAGGCCTGACTCCGTGGCCAGGTCTCACCTCACAGAGACTCCCAGAATTAAAAAGCATGGCCATGGAATGATATAGGCAGACTCGATATAAATAAAATATTCATATAAAAATAGTCTCTTACAAAATATTCTCTCTTATCCAGTGGCTCACTTTCCAAAAGATGGAAACTGCTGGGAGTTTTATTATTATCTTTCCTCTCTCTACTCCAAACTGGATTTTTCTACAGGTGACGTTTGAGGTGGGGAGGGTCAAAGGATGGGAAATGTATTCTGGAAAACATCTTCAAATCTGGACCAGCTTCAATTTCTGGATAAGTAGCAGCAAACAGCAAAAAAATATAAATGTATGTGTGTGCATATATATATTTATCTATATATGTATAGAGGACGTCTGTTCTTGTACTTAAACAGCTAGTGCTGCAAGGGGGTGCTTGCGAAATCAACTAGTAGAAATAGCTGCATCAAGAATAATTATGTACAGTTCTACTTGGCTCCTTGTCCTAGCGACAAAATCATCCTGCAAGGAAAGCAAGTGGTCCACTTTGATTGCAGAAAACGGATCCCGACGAGGTGAAAGGATTCTTTTTAATTAAATAAATTAATATTATTTTTTATCAGAATAAATTGTTAAATATTGCTATGATGAGGCCCAAGGGTCCAGAGTTCCTGCTGAGAATGGCTCTGCTCCCCAGGAGGAGAGAGCCAGCTGGGCAGTGCCTGGGAGTGGAGCAGCATCGGGTGTGGGAGAGAAGAGTGAGGGCTCTGGCGCGCTCTTTCCCACAGGTGCCTGCAGGAAACCCAGCAGAGGAGCCCACAGCAGAAAAGACAGGCTCAGCGTTCCTTCCTGTGGTCCCCGTGCAGATCTGTGAGGAGACCTGCCCAGGACACGGCAGCCGGATGCCGTTGGGGCCTTGCCGCCGTCGAGCTTGCAGCAGGCAGCATGGGCTCACTTGCAGGTGTACACCTCGGTGCGCTCACTGCAGGTGTTGCACTTGACGTAGCAGCACCAGTGGAACTTGCAGTTGCACTGCCACACACGGGCATACTGGTGAGTGTTGTAGCCGCGGCCACAGCACATGAGGTCACAGCCGCTGGCCTGGGGGGCTGTTTTGTTGCAGGCACGGCCCTGCGTGCCCACGCTGCCCGTCACCGGGTCCTCCTCGCAGTAGTTGGGTGACTTCTCGATGTACACCAGTTCTGTGTCCATGGGCTTGCGGTAGGACAGCGGCTTCTTGATCTTCAGGAAGGTGGGCCGCTTGTTGCGGCTGGCGCGCACGGGCTCCACGTGAACAGCCTCATTGTACTTGTCCTTGAGCACATAGCCGAGCTCCCGAAACTGGGGCAGCGTGGTCCAGCAGGTCTTGGTGGTGCATGAGCCCGACACGCCATGGCACTTGCACTCCAGCTTCATGTTCTCCTCCAGGATCTGCAGGGGTGGGCAGGGAAGAGCACACACATGTCACTGCATGCGGAGGCCAAGTGCTGTCCCCAGCCTGGCCTGCCCCCTGCCCCACCTAGCCCAGCTTGCTTTTGTTTTTCTTTTCTTTCTTTCTTTCTTTTCTTTTCTTTTTTTTTTTTTTTTTTTTTTTTTTGCAGGAAACACAGTCCTGGAGTGAAATCCCTCTCACCTCCAGCCTGCAGGCTGTGTCTTCCACTTGGAAACTGCTTGCCCTCCCATGTGGTTCTTCAATTGGCACTTAGATTAGTTCACACCACATATAGGTTCTCTTTGGCCTGAGTAAGTTTAAAATCATTTTTGAACCAACATTAAAAACCAGGAGACTTTAAAAGGCAGACTTCTGGGGATTTATTTATTTAGAAACAGAAAGACCATCCAGGTAACTCTAGAATGATATTCAAATCATTTACTAACTGGTACAGCTGGGTGTTGACCTACTGGTATATAGCCACAGATGCCAGCATAGCAGACCTGCTGTGTTGAGGCTCCCCACAATTCTACCAGCATTATCACATGGAAAAAATACCTGGAACTATACCAGCAACCAATCAATTTGCCACAGTCCTCACCATTCCCTATTGCCTCCTTGAATTCAAGATATGACTTCTCAGAGGTCTCCCGCTTTTATAACACCTGCCAGGGCTTGTGGGGCAGCTGAGTCCAAGAAACCTGGCTCTGATTTAACCTTCCCGGGAAGTTAGCCTGGATACCTAGGCTAGATGGTGTAACCCTTCTTTTGAGCTTCCCTTACCGCTTGAGTTTCCATTATCAGAGCATGAGAGGCAGCATTTAATGATAAAAAGCACAGACTCTGGACCCTGGATTTAAATCCCAGATCTATCATGAACGTGTGGCATGCCTGGAGACACTTTTTTAGCCCTCTGTGCTGCAGAGTATAGTGAAGATAGAAAGCAAAGAGCTTCCTACTTTTTGAGGACCACCCAGGGGTACTTCTGGTATGCTGGTAATGTTCTATTTCTTGCTATGGTTGCTTACCAATTATTTTTTTAAATCGACATAGCTAGTCTGTGTGCTTGTTTTGCACATTAGCTATATCTCACAATTTATAAAAATATGGATACCATGGCCAATAAGCACATGAAAAGATGCTGAACATCATTATGTATCAGGCAAATTCAAGTTCAAAATCACAATGAGACAGCCCTTCACACCATCTTGGATGGCTAATAGAAGAGAAACAGAGATTAATAAGAGTTGGCGAGGATATGGAGAAACAGGGACCATGTCCACCTGGTGGGAATGTAAAATGGGGCCCAGTGGAAAGCAGTCTGGCAGTTCCTCAAAATGTGAAAAACAAATGATTCAGCACCACAGCCTGAATGTGTGTATGTATCCCCTGCTCCCCAATTCACTTGTTGAAATCCTAACCCTCAAATGTGATAGTGTTAGCAGGTAGGGCCTTCAGGGGGGTTGAAAATCATGAGGGTAGAGCCCTCATGAACGGGATTTGGGCTTCATAAAGAGACTCCAGAGAGATCCCTTTGAAGACCAGTGAGAAGGCACAGGCTATGAGCCAGGAAGCTGGTCTTCACCAGAACATGTCCAAGCTGGCATCCTGATCTTGGACTTCAGTCTCCAGAACTGTGAGAAATGTCTGTTGTGTATAAGTCACACAAAATACCCTGCTTTACTTTATTCCAGCAGGCTTTATATGCCCCGAAGAAATAAAACATCATGTATATAAAGGTTAATAAGTTAGTGTTCATAGCAGCAAGCTTTACAACCCTGAAGTGGAGATCACCCAAATGTCCATCAATGGATGAACAAAGTGCGGTCCCTCCACACAGGGGAATACCCCTCGGGCAGGACAAGTGCTGACACCTGCTACAGCCTGAACAGACCCCAAGAGCAATGCTGAGTGAAAGAAGCCAGTCACAGAGTCCATGTATTGTACGATGGCATTTAAATGCAATGTCCACAAAAGGCAAATCTACGGAGACAGGTAGATCAGGGGCTGGGAGGAGACAGGGAAAGGGGAAGAGACCACTAAAGGGTGTAGTCTTCTTTGCGAAGCACTACAAATGTTCTAAAATTGATTGCAGTGATGGCTGCACATATCTGCAAATACATTTAAGAGGTTTGAACTGTACATTTTAAGTGAGTGCATTTTATGGTATGTGACATATACCTTAGTAAATCTGGCTTTAAAAAAAAAAGTGCTTGGAAGGTTTTGGTGGACACAATGGGAAGTATTTGCGAGACCAAATGTTTCCGTGGGGACTGTGGGAGCTGGGTGCTGAAAGCCAGGCTGCTGGGCTGGGCTGGGTCCAGTATGTGTCCTCCTGCACATTACCTTCCTCTTCCCCTGTGGCCACTGATGGCCTGAGGCCCTATGGGTATTTATTGGGCCCTGATCAGGTGACACCCAGCCCATTAGCCCTGCTAATGATGCATTTTGAGAAACTTGGGAGCACATTATGCTCTAACTCAGCTGGGTGTAATCACAGCCGCCCCGGCCAGGACAGGGCCTCAGTTTCCCCACTTGGAACTCAAGGACTTAAACTAAATGATGTCCAAGGTGACTTCTGACTCTGTCTGTGAAGTTTGGTCTTGGACGGATACTCATATTGTAACAGGGCGTTCCCCAGGAAAAGGGGAGGTTCCAGATTCCCTGCCCCACCCAAGGGAGGGTGGAGCTGAGCAGGGAGGAAAAGTTGAAGAAGAGACTAGGGAAGGAAGGAAGCAGGATGGAGAGCAAGAAGAAGGCCTGGAGGAGGCACATGGAACAGAGAAACATGTGACGAAACTACGCTTGCTTCTTGGTCCTGGACTAGGTGAAATAGACGTGGGTGAGAGACCCGTGGGGAGGTTAACAATGGCAGCTTTTATATTAATTTTGATTTTACTCTTTTCCTCCCAGACTCATCTGGCTGTTTCATCTGACCCTTTTCTATGGGTCCCTACCGAAAGGTGCTTTAGAGTTGGCGGCAGGCTTTGGGGCCTTGCTTTGGGCCAATCCTGTTTGGGTGGACTTTTACCCACGAGGGGATGGGTAACTTTGGGTGCTTGATTTGGAAACTATATTCTTTGTCTTTTGTGTATTGCACACTAATAGTATTAAATAAAGTTCCTTTGCATTAAAGGTCTTACATTGTTTGTCTTGATGTGGCAGATGGCAGAACCTATTTTGAGCAGGTAGGCTTGGGGGTTCAGGGATGCCCCTCTCCCTGTCCTATAACAATATTGCCTTTTCACATATACAGGTGCCTGGTGGCATCCTCAGAGAGATGGGCATTTTCATTCCATTTCAGAGGTGAGAAAACTGAGGCTCAGAGAAAGGAAAGGGCTTAGATAAGATCACAGAGCATGCTGGGTCTCCTCCACATGTCTCTCCTGACCACCCCACACACTCCCTCTCCTGCTGCACACCCGATGCTGGCCAGACCACAACAGGGTCTGGCACACACCAACCATGGGCTAGCTTCTGCCCCCCGCAGAAGGCACTGGGGAGCTCCAGGGGCAGAGGGAAGTCCTGGTAGTTATTCCTCCTGCTTGTTCCTGCCGGGTACCGTGGGTGGCTGTGTCTCCTATCAAAGATCACAGTTTCTGCTCCATGTCCTGTGAGTACACTCCCTGAGCCCAGCCCAGCCCCTGGCCCTCAGCCCTGAGGAGCAACAGTCCCACTGTGGCCAGCCCCAGAGGGCTGCACCAGCCCTTGGGTTCCTGCAACTTTGTACTTGTTATTAACAACCTCTTTTTTCTCAATTGCAATAGAACTTATACACCACACAATTCGCCCCAGTTGAAGTGTACAATTCAGTGGTTTTTAGTAAACAGTAAGTCCTCTCTCAACTTCATCAACAGCCTCTTAGAAACTGCAACTTTCAGTAAATTCATGTAATGAAACCCAATTTCACCGTAAGGTAATTGATATAAATAAAAGCTAAGCTCCAACGTCTTATTTCTGGTCACAAAAGCATCGCCAACCTTCTAAATCAAGCCCAGCACACTTCTAATATTAAACAACCATACGGTCTCTCTTTCATTCTTTTTCCAACCTGCTTATTCCATTTGGTATCTCAGGGAACCCGAGCCCAGCAGCTTGGGACCCAAGGCAGCACCAACTGAGAGGGGACGCCCTCCCATCGTGAGGCACAGCACCCCACATCTGCATTCACGTCGCCCGGGGCAACTGGGACACACCGATGAGCCCCACTGTGCTCATCTTTGGGGTGTGGAAGGAAGTAGATGCCCTGAGAAATGAATACAGGTGTGGGGAGGACATGCAGGCTCTACACAGACAGTGCCCTGGCTGGGCTCTCTTCAGCCCTATGGTGAAGCCATGTTACTCGAGAACTTGCTGTATTCAGCATTGTGGAACCATCACAACCACCTAATTTTAGAACATATTTGCCACCCTGAAAAGAAGCCTCATACTCGTTAGCAGTCTCTCCCCCTCTCCCCTTCCTCTCAGCTCCAGGCATCCACTAATCCACTTTCTGTCTTAGATAGTTGCTTCTTCTAGGCACAACCATAACATATGTGGCCTTTGTGTATTATTTCCTTCACTCATCATGTTTTCCAGTTCCTCCATATCAAAGCATGTGTTAGTTTTCCTTCCTTTTCATGGCTGAATAATATTCCATTATAAGGATATGCCAATGCTATTGACCCACTTGTTGGACTTCAGTCTCTTTTTGAAACTCTTCTGATTTCCCAGTGCCTGCCTGTGTTCTTCCCTCTGAGTTCGCTTCTGGGCTCAATCCTTATCTGGAAAGCCAATCTTTATTTTCATTATAGTCTCACCCAGGAATTCATCTACTCAGGGAGGCTCTCGAATGTGCATGATGACCAAGAGGCTCACGGGGGTATTATTAGAAATAGCAGAAGATCCAAAGAATCCAAAGACCCACCAATGAGAGCTGTTTATATACATGATGGGGCATCTATAAACCAGGGTGTTCTACAGCTGTTAGAGAGAAGAAGGCAGCTCTGCACTTATTAAT